TTTGAAAACTCACTACCTCTCTCCATTCTCTTGTAGGTGAACATGAACATGACCGATGATGAGGAGGAAGATGAGAAGGTATTTTATTTCCTTTATTTCTGACTATTGTATAATATATTATGTATGCCAGTTATACAAGTTCTAGTTGCGACTTTTGCATAGTTCCACTGGAAATCATCTCTCAGAAGCTTGTCTTTACCCAAGAAGAGAACATTTTATGCATTCAAAATTAGGACAGAATGTAGGAAACAGTAATAGCATGTGAACAAACACATCTCCTTCAGCACTTTCCTTCTATTTCATTGAGTATTCAGTATCACTACAAATGTGCTCTGCCGCATTGTCCCAGCCCTTTTAAACTCAAAATCTACGTTAAACTGCATCATTAATTGAAGTTTGTCTGCCGTTGGAGATATTAGCAGCGAGTGAAGATTTTTTCACCAGACTTTTCTAAATGGGATGGTTACTATGAGATTGACCATTTCCCTACAATAACAAATGAGGCTAAGAAAATGTACTTACTATTCTATCAAGATTATCACTCACTTAAACAATTGGATCTCTATATTCATAATGATGCCAAATGTATAATTGTTAATCTGAACGTGATAATCCCAAAACAATTATTTGAATGCCTGCCCACCAGTGGAGGCTGGTGGGAGGAGCTATAGGAGGATGGACTCATTGTAATGGCTGGAATGGTATGAGTGGAACGCTATCAAACATATGGAAACCATGTTTGACTCCGTTCAATTAATTCCATTCCAGGCATTACAATGAGCCAGTCCTCCTATAGCTCCTCCCACCAGCCTCCACACCAAAAGAAGAAGTCAAAAGTGTCATGTCCTTTACTCTTTGTTCCTCTTATCTAGACATTTCCCTTCGTTTTAGTTAGGAGAGGCAAGAGTTAATGGGATGTGTATTATTGCTTTATGGTGGAGAAGTGGGGAAGTGTGGAGCTGCTGCAAAGCCTCCAAGCAATGACCCCTCTGCAGTGCGTCTTGGCCCAGGAATCATATCCATAATGTGCTCAATATATTCTGTTGTGATGACCAGGGGCTAACTTTATGGAGAGGAACACCCTCTGCTAGAAAACAGGCCCGTCCTCCATATCTTGTCTGAAAGCACAGGCTAATTCATGGATGAAACTCTCATGATATGTGTGCATACACATAATACAGCTTACGCTTAGTTGCACTGCATTTGTAATCATGGCTTAGAAAAGACAACCCAGTCCCCAAACAAATAGTAATGATATGACAATTGTGTGTTTGTATGAATAGTGAATGAGGATTTGCTGCTTTTGTGGCCTTTAATAATTATACTGCTGAATAGGATCATTAGTAGCAGGTCTTCATAATTTCACTCAACCTCAATGATTTGGCTCTTTTTAAAATGTATTCCGTTTGTTTTCTCCTTTAGATTAAAAAATAGGTACGTCTAAAAAAAAGCAGGGAGTAGATTTTTCTAAATACATGTCCATGTGTTGCAGAGCTCAGTGTAATGGCTTAAACCAAATAATTCCTGTTCCTTGAAGTCCTCTCTAAAAGGTTTAACGTGAGCCCAGTAAGCCCATTCACACTCTGTGAAATATCTGCTTTCATTTACTAATTAAGCAGTTCCTGTGTTTGTTTTAAGATGTCAGCTTTAATTTAAAGTGGCTTATTTGAAAGTCGTGTTATGGTTTTGCTGTCACTTAAATGTAATATCATGCAGACAGACCAAGCAGTGTAGCTTTACACTTCATATCAAAGTGTTCTTTTAAACTATTTGGGGTTAAAGAGTGATCAGTGTTCAATTTGATGACTTCAAAGGCACTACTTTTTCTTCTAGTCCTTTCGCTAAGAACTGAATAAAGGTTATTCCCTTTGAGAAGGTTACCATTGCCACTCAAATGTTTTTTCCCTGTTTTCCCCTGGAGGAAGGAGATATGTAAACTTCCGATAGAGCAGTAGGAATGTGAAGGCATGATGTTAAAGAGAGACGAAAGGCCCGGCTACGTTACATCAGGATAATACACAACAGATCTCTCTCTCTGTGAACAAATCTGTCCTCAGGGAAAGAGACAGCTTACAAATGATGTGTGGCCAAAGTGACTTCCCTTTGGCCTTAGGTATCAATTGTGCAGACGGACAATATTTATTAGATAACATTAAAAAAAACTAGAAAAGTAAAAGAAGCCCATAGATCTCCATCACAATGAACAGAGAAGATAAAACCGGTTTTCTATGGCCCCTGGCTGGTAAGGCTGGTCTAGGGGGAAATGGGGGGAGCGTTGCTCCTCAAGCACTGCCCAGGGGAGCAGGGGGTTGGGGAGGGTGGTTGAGGGGGTGACAGACTGAGCTGAAGGGGTGCTTTCCCTTACCCCCTCAGACCCTAGTCACCACTGGGTCACCTTCAGCACACCAGCCAGACAGACTGCTGATGTCATGGTCAGTGATGTGCATTATTGGAGGTATGTACCCTCTAACACGTACTGCCTCTGGGAGCTGCTCACTGCCCACACGTTTGTTTGTGTATCCATTTGCTTGTTAGCTCGTTTTAATATCATAAAAGAATCCATGCCAAAATCACAGGTGTTTTACATTAAGATGAACGTTTCTCTCCTTTGTGTAATAAGTCACTAGAAAATATTCAGTCAAGCTTTGAATGAATATTCAAATTTGGTTCCATTTATTCAAATTAAAGCAATGTTAAATGAGCTTTTTTCAGCATTTGATTATGCCCAACATGCCTGTGAAACCACATTTTCTGTTTACCTTTGTGCAGGAGATCAAATCTGTTCCCTTTAAAGGTATAACTTTTACAATTTTATCTGAAATGAGAATATGATTTGACACAGGTTTTTCTAATCAGTACACATTTATGATTTATGTGGTCCATCCCCACCAGTATACCCATCCCTTACACTTCAGGAGAATACCTTTCATTTATTTCTGTTTACCAGCAGCACAGAACAGTTTTGTAGGGGGTTGAAAAGGGAAATGAACGAAGATAAATAATATCATCAAATGAGTGATGTAGTAAAGGACTTCCAATGCTCATCACTAAGGAGATGGAGGACTTCAAGGGTCTTAAGGGAAATTAAAGTTGATAATCATGAGAGCTTATTGATGCATACTTTATAGAACATATCATTTGGATTTCTTTTTTCAAATGAAAGCTCAATTATTATTATTATTATTTGTATTTCTATTTTTTGCCTCTTTGGCTACATCTACCTTGTGCACACAGTCCTATCTGTTTTAAATAAGAGTTCATATCTCTTATCAGATTTGAATCCTAATTCATGTTTAGGGGGCCTTAATCAATTTTAGATAGGCTCAGATTCCCTTTCATATCTCTAACTGATGAGTCTCCATATCCAGTGAGCTCTCATTTCCCCGTGCACAGCTCTCTGTCCATCAGGAGCACACAGACATGGATCTTAATGGCTTTTAGCAGGCACAAACAGTTTCCTCTGCTGTGAATCAGAGCTCAGGAGAAAGAGCTAAATTAACACCTAATGTGAAGTAAATGATATGCATTCTGCATTCACATTAGACTGAGGTTGGAGATTTTCTTTGTCTTGCTGTAGACAGTGCCGTGTCTCTTCTATAAAACAATGATACATAGGATGATAGGCTACAGTACTATCCCTCCCTCTCTATTGTATGACACTATGGGATAGTAATCTCTTCCATATGATGATAGGGTACAGTACTATCCCTCCCCTCTATTTTATCATACTATGGGATAATAATCTCTTCATGGATCTCTGAGAGAGCATATTTGAGATATTTCCAGCGGCCTGGTGGGAATTGCTCTCTTCCTGTGGTTGTTGTGGAGGAGACTGAGGACTGACAGTGGGGAGTCTCGTTGCTCTGTGCTGCCTGGCAGACAGCGTGTTTTCCCAGGGGCTGCCTCATGAGACTCTGATAAAAACATTCTGTCTGGACACTGTCTCTGAAGCCAGGCTGGGGCTGGAACTGCCTTCTAACACAAACATATAGACATCGTCAAGCCTCCTGTTAGACTCCATCAGATACCTCCCTCTCTCTCTCCCTCGCTCTTCTCTGTCATCATTCCTGTCATTATGTCCTCCTTTTGATGTGAGTCTTCTCAGCCCTCTTTAGCTTGCATTACTGGTGTTATCATCTCCAGCCTCTCCTTCTGGAAAGCTTCCCAGCGCTGCTTCTTCTCTGCTGTTAGCAGCACTCATCTGATCATGTCTAGTTCAACTCAAGACAAGCCAGAGAAGATCTATTATTTCCCCCACACTGATATTGACAGACACCTTCCCATAACATGTCCATCTGGTCTATATAAGATGTCTGTATCATATCACAGCTTTTGCACCATATACACCATGATATTTATATATCAATACAAAATTAGCACTATAACACTATATATACACTTTGTTGGTGATGAAGGTGGACATAGCCATAGCCCATTCACATGATATGAGAGTTATATATGAGTGAGAATACATCCAATGATTACAACCCTGTGTTCTAGGGTGGCTGAGCCACTGCCCCCTCACACACACACAGAGGTGTGAGGACAGACAGACAGAATGAGTATAGAGGTAGGTGGGATAGCACTGGCAGAACAAGTCCAAACCCACCCTATGGAGACTTGTGGGATTCGACTCCCTTACAACATACATCCTCTGTCTGCTCTTCCTGTCTGGGTCATCTGGGCTGCTGCCTGATTGCTGATGGCCATTTTATGTCTGTCTCATCCTCCAGTTAATCTGTGATTTTGATGTAGAGCACTTCCATTGTTTGTGGCGGACAAAAGTGGAAATCTCACAGCCATCCTCATGACAGCTTTTCAACGTTGAATCTGCCTCATTTTCAAAAGCATAGTCTGAAGAGACATAGTTTGCTCATTATAGGCAATTCAATAGATGAATTACTCATGATAGCGCAGCAGAGATAAACTGGGCTTTGTCTGCTTCTTCAAACAATTGACATACAGTACAGTAGACCTCATCAGTGCCTGTGTATTTATAGGAATCAGGGAAAAAGGGACTGATGGACAAAATCCATATGGTCCAAGAGATCGTCATCATTGTCCAAAACATTTTGGATGAAATTGCATGCATCGGGGAAAGAGTCAAGAAGTAAGTTTTACATTTTAAGTTTTGGAAATGTTTCATAACCCATTACAGTAAACTGGAGTTCAATATTCTCTGTAACAGTGGGTGTATACGGCTTTGGCTTGCAACTACATTATTGATTGTGCAGTATCTTGTATCCTCTTAGTCATAATGATATTCTGACTTTATTTGATGTAATATTTAATCCACAGCACGTTCAACTGGTCTGTGCCCTTCCTGTCCTGGCTGGCCTGCTTGGTTCTCTTTGTGGCAACAGCAGCATTATACTACATCCCACTGCGCTACATTATCTTGATATGGGGTAAGTCAAATATACACCATTATTTGAATAATAAATACTGTTTTGGAATGGATAGCTTCCCCTTCTGCAAAACATTGTTGTAAAAAGACAATTACAGTGAATAGCACTTATATCCATTATCATTATAACATGTTCTTCATTGAAGTCATTTGAACATTCATCCATCCTCACACCAGAGCTCAGGCTGCTAGCTCCAGAGGCTCAGTGTGCTCAGAGCTCTGCTCAGTGGGGGATGTAAGCAGACCAGTCTGAGGCTAGGCTCAGGGTCTGTGAGAAAACAAAGCCGAGCGACGAGGCAGAGAGCATCATGCTGTATATAAAACAGGATGTCCTTGGGCAGTGTAGGCTCCTGGTGGAAACCCTCATTATCTGCTCCAGTCCAACAGAGGAAGGCAGTCGTCTCAGCGGTCAGAGGGAAACAGACACTCCTCCTCCAGCTGTTAGCCCACAACTAACTGTACTTCTACACTGCCTCCAACACAATCAATACCAAAATCATATCAAACAAAAGCACTGATAGACTCTCCTCACTCCCCAGTTAACCCCCATCTCTGGTTGTGATGCAAGCTTTTCATGTAGTCTGCACACATTTAGGTCCTTAGGTTCTTTGTGTACATGTCGAGGTAAGCGCTGTAACTAGCAGTGAATATATGGTCTCATTAGAACAAGACCCCAGAGGTATCTGTTTCCTTTCTAGAAATAGTGTGGAATGGGGGGAAATAACACTATTGAAAATTAGAGAAATAATAAAGTTATTTGAAAGGAAACCTAAGAAATGTTTTGGTTGTTTGAATGATATGGAAAGGTAGTTGGGGGTGGAGTGGTGATAGGGCGAGGGGAGGTTGGTAATCTCTGCTCCGGGCTTTAGTACTGTATGTGTACTCAGAGGACCTGAGTCGCCCTTGGACACGGACTGAAATGTATGTTCTGCAGTCAGCCACCAGGCTCTGTTCAAAAGCTCTCATGGATGTTTGTGTTACTGTGCACCTGCTGCCTGCATTACAGCATTCTCTGTACTGTTGAGCTGCCAACATATACACTATATATACAAAAGTATGTGGACAACCTTTCAAGTTAGTTGATTTGGCTATTTCAGCCACTTCCGTTGCTGACAGCCATGCAATCTCCATAGACAAACATTGGCAGTAGAATGACCTCACTGAAGCGCTCAGTAACTTTCATCTTGGCACCGTCATAGGATGCCACCTTTCCAACAAGTCAGTTCGTCAAATTTCTGCCCTGCTAGAGCTGCCCTGCTCAACTGTAAGTGCTGTTATTGTGAAGTGGAAATGTCTAGGAGCAACAACAGCTCAGCCGCGAAGTGGTAGGCCACACAAACTCACAGAACGGGACTGCCGAGTGCTGAAGCGCGTACCGTGTAAATATCATCTGTCCTCGGTTGCAACACTCACTACCGAGTTCCAAACTGCCTCTGGAAGCAACGTCAGTGCAAGAACTGTTCATCGGGAGCTTCATGAAATGGGTTTCCATGGCCGAGCAGCCGCACACAAGCCTAAGATCACCATGCGCAATGACAAGCGTCGGCTGGAGTGGTGTAACGCTTGCCACCATTGAACTCTGGAGCAGTGGAAAAGCATTCTCTGGAGTAATGAATCACGCTTCACCATTTGGCAGTCCAACCGACAAATCTGGGTTTGGCGGATGCCAGAAGAACGCTACCTGCCCGAATGCATAGTGCCAACTGTAATGTCTGGTGGAGGAGGAATAATGGTCTGGGGCTGTTTTTTATGGTTCGGGCTTGGCCCCTTAATTCCAGTGAAGGGAAATCGTAACGCTACAGCATACAATGACATTCTAGACAATTCTGTGCTTCCAACTATGTGGCAACAGTTTGGGGAAGGCCCTTTCCTGTTTCAGCATGACAATGCCCCCATGAACAAAGCGAGGTCCATACAGAAATGGTTTGTCCAGATCAGTGTGGAAGAACTTGACTGGGCTGCACAGAGCCCTGACTTCTACCCCATCTTTGGGATGAATTGGAACAGCGACTGCGTGCCAGGCCTAATGGCCCAACATCAGTACCCAACCTCACTAATGCTGTTGTAACTGAATGGAAGCAAGTCCCCGCAGCAATGTTCCAACATCTAGTGGAAAGCCTTCCCAGAAGAGTGTAGGCTGTTACAGCAGCAAAGGGGGGACCAACTCCATTTTAATGCCCATGATTTTGGAATTAGATGTTCGGCGAGCAGGTCCCCACATACCTTTGGTTATGTAGTGTATATTTATGATGATACATATCAATTCACTGTCCATACAACCTCACCATCTTATTGATATACAGATTCAATTTAGTTCCTGTGGATCAATTCAAAATAGCGTCACAAGGTGCAATTTCTCATACAGCGGTGAAAGAGCTAGGGATTGGGTCGCAAGATTGTTTTCTCCTTGTAAAAATATGCAGGTCTCGATGACACCTTTATTTATTAAAGTGTCCTTGTTTTCACAGGCGTTAACAAATTTACCAAGAAGCTACGCAACCCGTATGCCATTGACAATAATGAAATACTGGATTTCCTCAAGAGGGTGCCTTCTGATGTTCAAAAGGTAAGGGTCCAATTTTCCATACAGACAGAGGGAGGGAATTCCCTGAAGATATCTGCATTATTTGCTCTAACAGAATTCCCAAGTGTTGGGGAAATATATCCTCTGGCTTTGTTTGATTATTAATGGCCTTTAAAGCATCCCTGGCCCAATTATTTCTGGCGGTAGTTTGATGCAGTCGTCCCGTTGCCTGGATGGGGTCTACTCTGATCTGTCCTCCGCCATATCGCTCCAGCCTTGTCCCTGATTAGCAGTTTTGTCTCTGTGATAAAAGCACTGTGGCGTCGGAGCCTGTGATTGGCCAGGGGCCGGCGGAGGGCCCCTGACGTCTGTGGTTGTCTGTGGCTGGTGTGCCCAGCTCTATGTCAGCTTAGACACTCTGACGTGGTCCCCATCACATCAGGGTGGGGGAGTCAATTAATGTAGTCGTGAGACCCGGCACATCCTGCTGGCTGCCATATGTGATCATATATTAGCCATGGCTGACATGTCATTTGCGGTTACATCACAGGGCTGGTAGCAGATAGCTGCCAGGGCAGGGTGCTGTACTGTACGTGATACTGGGTGTGCATCCTGTTTTCTCTCTGTTCTGTTCTGTGACAGAGAGGCTGAGCGTGGGCAGGAAACGGAGCAGCAAATAGTGTCTTCCTCTCCCAGGTACAGTACTCCACAGACAGTATTCAGCTAGGATACGTGACTGTCTGGATCTGGAAAGACACTGAACCCCAGTCTCTTTCTCCACTGCCCCCTTGATGTTGTCACTCTGAGAGTTATTGCCAAATGTTCAGTGATGTTGGAGAGAAGCCTATGTGATTTTTTGGCTGAGTAAGTTGGCAAAACAACAAGATGAATACATTTAGTTTTGCCATATTTTATGTCTCACATATTTTATGTGACACGTTATTAAAGTTTTGAAAATGACTCCATGGGGACAATACTTTTTAGTCTAGTTTACAGATTAACTATGTCATGGATGATGGCTACATAACAAAACAAAACATTCATAATGACTCATCAGTAGATAAAGTTATGTGAATAATAATGTTGCTGAACAAGACAAACACATGAACCATAACAATAGACCACAGATTCCTGTTATTGCCTTAGAACTCCAACCCTTAGATAGGCCTAGGTATGGACACAGTCAAGCCATATTACAAAGGCTGGAAACAGGCTCCTGTCTGACAGCAAAATGACTTGGCAATTAGTGCCTGTGCAAATCTACAAAGCCCCCCCAAACCGGGACTTCTGACAGGAGCGTGTCTGTCCTGAAATAAGAAGCATCTGTCAGTTCTGAGAACAGTTTCATGTTCTGATGCAGACGGCAGTCACTTTGTTCCCTCATTCATTCCATCTCCCATTCTAATAATCAGGGTTTGGTAATTAGTATGGATTCTCTACCTTGATTCAACAGAGCCATGTTATTGTTGTAGCAACAACAAAAAATGGTTTTGAAAGCAATTTTTCTTCAAACTTAATTTTGTCGAGTTTCTAAATATTTTTCCAACTATCAATCGGTTTCACATTATGGTTCTTTTGATTCATATTTTTGGGGGCCTGTTACTTTCACTAGATACAAAGATATTTTAGATACTTACAGTTTTTCAACCATTTGCCATAGTAAGTTCCAATTTGGAAGTTTAATTCTAGACTTTCAGCATACATTTCTGTTACAAATATGTTTGGACATGTAGGAAATTGTGTAAACTTGAGACAATCTTTGATGTTGAGCCTCATAATTCTGCAAACATAACTGAAAGGAAACTGTGGTTTAAGTTCAAATGTCAAAGTGGCAGGTCTCTTTTCTCGGATGAAATCAAAGTCAACTTTTAGTTCCCTTTGAAGCATGTAAAAGTCGACATCCCATTGATGCCAGTTGCTACTCTAGTTAAGAAACCCCTGGCTGAGGCTATTCTTGGCTTCGTACAAAGTTTTCTCAGAAAGGACACAACTTGCAATGAGCGATTATGCAGTTTTACAACTCCCTCACTGGCAGGTCTTCTCAACAGTTACATTTACATTTACATTTTAGTCATTTAGCAGACGCTCTTAACCAGAGCGACTTACAGGAGCAATTAGGGTTAAGTGCCTTGCTCAAGGGCATATTAACGTCATTTAGCAGACGCTCTTAGCCAGAGCGACTCACAAATTGGTGCGTTCACCCTATAGCCAGTGGGATAACCACTTTACAATTTGGGGGGGGGGGGGGGGGGGGGGGGGGGGTTAGAAGGAATACTTTAGCCTATCCCAGGTATTCCTTAAAGAGGTGGGGTTTCAAATGTCTCCGGAAGGTGGTGAGTGACTCCGCTGTCCTGGCGTCGTGAGGGAGCTTGTTCCACCATTGGGGTGCCAGAGCAGCGAACAGTTTTGACTGGGCTGAGGGGGAGCTGTGCTTCCGCAGAGGAAGGGGAGCCAGCAGGCCAGAGGTGGATGAACGCAATGTCCTCGTTTGGGTGTAGGGACTGATCAGAGCCTGAAGGTACAGGGGTGCCGTTCCCCTCACTGCTCCAAAGGCAAGCACCATGGTCTTGTAGCGGATGCGAGCTTCAATTGGAAGCCAGTGGAGACGTGGCGGAGCGAGGGGGCGGTGAGTGAG